ATCTGCAGTCTGCCTGGCTGTCTGCAGCCCAAATCCACACGTGTGGGAGTTCCCACACATATGCACACACGTCTACACGTACTCACATAGACACAGTGACTTCAAAAATAGTCAGCAAGACAGAAAATGACAAGAGGAGCGGTTTGTTTGCCGTCACATTACATACAACTACAGATGCTGTTCACAATTAAAACATCTGTTCTGAGAGTGTTCAACAATCTTTTTCCTGTTCACTACAGCGAAGGCTTTCTTACTGTGGCTGTATGACCTCTGCAGTGGCAAATGAGAACACTAGGAGCAGTGAGGTGTTTGAGTGAGTTTATCCAGTCAAGGCATTAGGTCTATGTCTCAAACTTCAGGATATAAACCATGTGCTGATGATTTTATTCAACTCACATAATCTCAAATGTTTTTGACCGTTTGTTAGAAGGTGTCACCTGTCCGTGACAGTTAAAAAAAGAAAATTCTTGACCATTCTTGCCATCGACACCTCAACACTCCACAACTTCTGGTAAGAAGAAAACGAAAGAGCTGTTAAATGTGTTTGTATGTGCGTGACCGCGAGGGTTGGCTTTGAAAAGGTAACCATTTCAGCATGACTTATCCACGCAGTCTCCGGTGATAAATCACGGTCTGTTAAAAAGAGTATGCTGGCCAAAAGAGCAGCCATGTTTCAAGGTGAGCTTAGGAGTTCAAAATCTGCGTTGAGCTGGCATTACTTGGCCATAAAACATTCTGCATTAGGCACGTCACAGGTGTAATCTTCTGAAGAGCCGGTGGTTGTTTGGCTTTGCTGTAGAGCACAGAAAAATGCTTCAAAAAACTTTGTATGCAAGAGTTAAAAAGAAAAAAAAGGGTGCAAGCTGGAGGAGAGCAGGACATTGCCAAACAGGAGCGATAAAGCCAAGGACAGTCATAAAAATCTAGAGAAGCCTGGTCTGGTTCTTCTACAAGCGTGGGTTGACTCTGTCTTTCAAAAGGTACACGGTTGAAAGTGTTGAAAGTATGTTTCATGTTTTATGGCATGAAATGTAAGACTGTCATTCGAGGAAAATTCTTGGAAATATCGTTGTCTACTCACTTTCTCACACAGGAGCCATGTCGTCATGGTATTAATGAAGACACACTCTTAGATACTCCAATGTACCTCAGTACAATTGACATCTGTTGATATAGTTCTGTCTCTGTCATCTCACTTTATCCAATTACTCTTCTTTTTGGGACAAAAATATGTGTTTTTGTAAAAAAAAAAAAAAAAAAAGAATTTGAGTCACACTGTATAACACAGTGATGTATTTCTAAGTAATTACCCCTCATTTTTGTGTCTATTCCCCTGATGAGACACAAGTGCTGCTGGCAAAATGCACAAATGGCCTAAAAGGACTGAGATCAGTGAAATGCGATGAACTCCAGCCAAGGATATCTCTGTGCGAAATGCAAATCTGGCACAGGCCAAAATCAAAGACAGGGACACTTTAGCTCCGGTGATGAAAAACAGCAGCAACGGTGTTTAAATGAATGGAAGTGTAAAAAGTTCATCTTAAAATAGACAAAAATTGCGGCTCAAAGGTCGCAGATGCACAGGGTGGGTGTGTACTGTTCGTCTCGATAATGCTTTATAAAAATAAAATAAAAAAACATGCTTTAATGGGAGCAGTGTGTGTACCCGTCTCCATGGAGGCCACAGACAAAGTCGTGTTAGCTTCCAGAAATACCCCATGTGCTTAAAATATACACAGCAACACATGTGCGTAGAGATAAAGAAAAACATTAGCCTGGGTGAAAACACAACTGAACGAAATTGACATTGACGGCACCAGACGCATTTATTCATCTGTCTTCATCTTCTTCAGACCAAAACTCAAACTGCTGCAAGTAATCAAGGTGAAGAAGGTGGAGAGATTTAAAAATATATATATAAAAAAGTACAGACTAGATTTGTGTTTATTTCAGTGACAGGAAGAGCAATGGCTGTCTCCATTCTTGACTGCTGTTGTAGGGATGACTAAGACAATGAAATCTTACTAATGATAATCAGTTGCACAGACAGAGAAAGCTTGACAGATGGACGAGTTCACTGATGGAAGTAGAAGGAATGGTCTGGAGACCCCAGGGCTGTATAGTGTTTCTAAGCCCTGCATGAAGACATGAGGTCTCTGGTAAATGTCCACTGCCCAGAAAACATGAAGTCACCCCGATCGGGGCTGATTCTCTCTGTCCCTTTTTCCACTTCTGCTTCAATAACTACACACGTTGCACCGGAGGCCACAGTATCTCCACTCGTGGTCCACACCAGTCTCATATTTTGAACTCAGAACCACTTGTCAAGTCTGATAGACTAGACCCGGCGAGGAAGACGAGAGTTCCACTGCAGACAGAGTTCCAACTGAAATAGTCGTGAGAGGTTTTGTTTTCTTAAGAAGCATAGGAAGAAAGTGTAGACTCTCTTTTCACTGCTGTCACAGTGAGTCAACGTGCAACGTCTTTAGTAAAGCCATTAGCCAGTGCAGGGCTGCAAGTGATCTTTAACAAAACGTTCTAGTTTGTGTCCTCGTCAGTGTGTGTGTGCAGATAACAGACCACACATTCGATCGAAACTTTACGTCATTTAAGACTTTTGCATATCTGCAAAATTATGACACCTGCTTCGTTTTCCTTTTATTTATAATACTATAATTAATCATTTAGCTCAATCACTTTAGCCCAGGGTCTTCCAAACTTTTCCATGCCAAGGCCCAACAAATAGCATTAGCTTCTGGTCGGTTACAAACCACAGACAAAATGTGCAAAGAAACAGACAAACCACAGACAAACCACAGACAAAATGTGCAAAGAAACCAAACTTAATCAACTTTAAGAACCATTCAGTAATCAAAGAAAATCATAGCGCCCCCTGTCGGCGTCCAAGCTACAACCCTGTAAGATTTTTGAAGATAACACCACAACCAAACACAAGCCCAGATACTTTTCCAAAGAGACACTATAGAAATGTTGAAAATTAAACCAAAGACCTCACATTTTCAGTGTGGAAGCAACACCAAAGAACTCTTTAGACATTTTCCTACCTTCCACGTCGACCTGTTTCCCTAAAATTACATACAGAGTGCAGAGGTGCCCACAGGATGAGCTGACCCCGTAGAGCACCAGTTAATCTCTGAGGTAAATTCTAGCATTTGACCTTTTCCAAAATGTTTGAATTTGAGGCCACTGAGGCAGAGAGAGCGTTTGGGACAATTTCCCAGTTCTGATTTTTCTTGCTAATAGGGACCAGGAGCAAGGTATGTTTTGAGGTGTGGAAGGAATACGGTACATGCCCATGGGGCAAGTCTGGGGTTTCTTTAATGAGTGGTTGGACATAACAAGGTGAGTCATGAAACTTGGAGGACGTTCTAGAGCCTGATCCAGGTATTCATGGTACACCAAGGCTGGTACTGAAAGAATACAGCCCAGTTTGTCTGTAAATGGGCTCGTTAATTGACGAAAAAAAAAGAGAGAAAAATGTTCCATTAAAATACAGACGTAAGCTGGAATAATTTAAAGGTGTCATTAAAGCCCGGAAGCACTGAAAAGCAAACTGGGAATCCCACATCAATTTTGCTTTGTAATTATTCAAGTGCCAAGTTTATTAGCAATGAACAGAAGCAGAGTTAAAGGAAAACTGACTGACCGCAAAGTGAGGGAACACAGGGAATGGCAAAGGCCTGCTGACAGAAAGTTGGACTTAAGAGAACCTCACCTAATGCAGGTGAAAACTAAATATTGTATTATATTTCCTGTGGCTTTTTCGGGAATGGAAGTTTGGCAGGAGAGCACCACCTGTGGTGGAAAGTATAAAAAGCATCCTTTAGTGAGTCCTCCAGTTGTTTGTCCAACTGTTGCATGTTGATGTAACATAAATAATGTTGTGTCTGGTAGAGTTGCTAATGACTTGACGCTAGTGACATCATCATGACTAGGCTTCTATTGGTTGACCGAATTGTCTATTACCTATAGTTGCCATGTAATTTAGAGAACTGTGTCTTATAGAAAAGTACTTGGAACTCAAGGCTGAGACCAAAAGACTTACTCTGTTTTTGTGTCATATCTCAAAATGTCCTTATTTGGTTCTTTTTCCTTTTTGGACAGGCCAACCGTTAACCAACACTCACTTATTATCCAGGTGAAGCCTGAGGGTTTCCATATAGGATACCTGAGTTACGAAGTCTGTCAGATTAACATGATGTGAGTGTGTTTCTCCCCCTGCTGTGGAGCTGAGTTTTCCCAAAGTATCCCATTCGCAGCACTGTGGAATAAACGGCAGGATCTATGGAGCGCCGGTGCCGGGTTTTTGGAGGAAAGAGACACTTATCATTTTATTAATGGTGTGTCACTGATGTTAGCCATGTTCACCTGAATGTTGGGTCTCAAGTGCCCGTCTCAATTGTAAGGTGAGAAGGTTGTTCTGCACTACTGTAAGATTTAAAGTCTCCACGTCCGTCCGTTTGGCTCAGTAGCCGACAGGCTGGCTCGTGTCTCAGTACCAAGTACAAAGCAGAGGAAACATATAGTTCTGCTTGTCTGGCGTGGAGCAGTTTCCACTCATGTCTCTACATTAACAAAGAGAGACGCGAAAGGCAGCCCAGTTACTTTCCTCTGAAAGAAGAGAAACACAAAGTAGGATTTGGGTTCTAATAGTAAATGTCAGAGTCACATTGGTGACATGCACCACCTTGGTTTTTATCCAGAGAAGAGATTTTTATTTGTGTAAAGTATTGTCAATACTTAGTACCAATTATGATGCTGTAATTATGGGTGAGTTTTAGAGTCTAGAGTCTAAGAGACGACTGGTGAGGACATCACAAGAAAACAAATGTTTCTGAATGAAAATGGTCTTCAACCTGCTGACATTGTGGATCTAGTTGATTGAATAGCCATAAGGGCAATGACAGAATAACTGGTGGTGGAAAATATAGAACCTTCACCAGTGGAGTTGTTGAATTAGCACATTATGAGTGAAGTATTGGTCCTGATACCAGTACCAGTTGGTGTTAGAAAAAACTGTTTTGTTTTGAATAATACATAAAAACATGTTACACTGAGTAATTACAACAACAAAAAACAAATGAAAATGGCTGAGAAACGTCCAAGAATCAATGATTTAGTATTATTCGCTGGGTTGCCTGTCCATCCATCTGAAGTCTAACCACAATTGCCAGGACCCTCCCTGTCTCTTCCTACTTATTCCAGCTCTGCCTGGGAATGCTGGGGCATTTGTGGGTCACACTAAGTTCTTTATTCCTTATTTTCCTAACTGGTCCGAGACCGCCCATTTGGACATGACTGGAATACTTACAATGGGTGAAACTGCGATGGGTGTTAGTACTAGCTCCGGCCCGTGTTTTACAAATTTCTTGGCTCGCGTCCACACGTGATTTCTTTCTATCAAAATATTGACAAGTAATGAAATTAGTTTTCTTCCTTTCTTTTTCTTCTTTTTTTCTTCCTCTAGAGCGGTACACCATCTATGGGCAACATAGTCAAGGAATGGTTTTGTTTACTCGTCGAGTCGGAGGTAAATATTTCGGGCTTGCTGTAGTGTTTCTTCTCTAAGCAGCACCTTGACTAGGCGCTCTAACCTTTTCTTCAAGGATTAAGGAGCTATATTAAGAGGTGTTTAGAGGACAAGGTGAAGTCTGGGAGTTCCACTCTTATGTTTGGCTTGGTATCACAGAAATATAATGCCACCTTCATTAGCATTTATCCAGTCTGCCCCACACTGTGCTGTGTTTTCTTTGGGGCCAGCAAGAATTAGAACCCAAACATGTGCTTGCCCTGCCCATCATTATCCACGTTCAATACGCCTTCTTCTTTCGCCATCCATAACAATCCAGGCATCAAATTAAACCCGTCTGGTTTCCTCGGGTTTTCTCTCAATGTCGGAGGTACACATTTTTAAATGCTCAAATTGAAATATTACAACCTTGGATCTTGAACAAACACGCTTACAGGGACAAGATTTCTAAAAAAGAAATTAGTAAAAACAAAAAGAAAAAAAAAAACAATTTTATATTTTGTTTTTGCTTTGCTGGCTTTATGAAATAATATGTCTGGTAGTGGAAAACAGAGGCCAGCATAAGTGGAAAATTGTTATGCGCAAATTTAAATATTATGTTCATAAAGTTTTATCCAATAAATCTAATTTCCAGTACACCTCTATTAAAGTTGTTGAGAAAATCTCAAAACAATATAGTTTTATTTTATTGGACCTCCGATTTTGGCATCTGATTGAAAAGAATCCCAAGCAAAGACGAGGCTGGGGCAGAATGTGTTACATTCATTATACCGTTGTCTGTCTGCTATAAAGATATCAAGTGTGCTCATCCTTTACACAAACTCTGCAGCTATTGGGTTAACGGGCGGTAAATGCACCACAAGTCCATTTGTCCTGGCACAGGGGCAGTTAGCATAGCTGGGTGGGTAGACTGTTGAAATAACAATACATTTGACACTTTATAAATGAGACGTTAGAGAAGGAATTTGAATAAAGCAGTGTTGGACAAAAGCGTGTGTCTGGGTTCAAACTGCAGCGGTTGGCTAATGGATCGTGGTTAGTGGGGAAAAGGTTCAGATTCTGTCCCAGGAGAGGAAGGATGAGACTGTGACGATGGGTTAGGCAGACAGTTCAAAAGAAAGAGGGGAGGAGAAAAGAAAAATATGGATAAAAAAGGAGAGGAGACGAGACAAGATAAAAAGGAAAGGAGAGGTGGGAAGAAGAAGAAAGACAGGAAAGGACAAGATTGGACAAGAGGACAATGAGGAGAAGAAATGAGGGGAGAAGAGAGGGGATGCCTGGAGAAAACAAGAGGAAATGAGATCAGAGAAGTAGAGGAGAAACAAGGTTGATAGGTTTGGAGAGGTAAACAGATTAGAGAAGAGGTAAGGTGATGGGTTAAGATCAGAAAGAAAGAATGTAAGAGAGGAGAGAAGTGGAGGTGACGTGAGAGGAGAGGAGTGGAGATTTATCTGCCTGATGAATAATAATAAAAAAACACTAGTGAAACTATTGTCTTACCTTGATGAGGGAGTGGAGGCTCCTCTCACCAAACATGTCCTGGAGGAAGGTGTTGTCTTCTGGGCTGCTGACATGAGGCTGCAGCTGAGAGGGCAGTGCTGCCAGCAGCTCATACAGACCTAAGGAAGAGGAGAGTTTAAAGAGTTTATATGGAGGATATAAATCCTTAAATAATCCTAAAAGATAAACCTGAATGTACAACATTTGTCAGTAGCTGCATGTATACATTTATTCAAGCACATGTTTGACTGATCAATTTGATTAAATCAATTTCAGTTTTTACTTTCATAATGGATCGTCAACCGTGGCTACATTCCCAATTTTGATGAGAACTTCGCTGCATTCAAACATACAAAAAGTGTTAAAACTAACTAAATATAAAGTTGAAACACATCTGACTGATTAGCCGCTCTCGGAGGATGATTTATATTTAGACCAGGTAAGACCTCAAACAGGTCATCACCACAGAATGACCAGTTTCTTATAATGATGTGAGAAATGTCCTTAAAACAGCCCAAGGCTGAATCTTCGTCTGTATCCGTAATGAAAAGGTCTAAACCTACAAGGTCTTTTGGGTTTTACTACCTTAACTTATAAAAAGTATGACCATCTCAAATTTGATTTAAAGAGAAAGAGACTGGAGGGCTGATGGTTTCAAGATTTGGATAGGGGAGGTGAAACACTCACAGGGAGAGAGAGAGGGGGAGAGAGAGCACAAAAACAGCAAGTGAACAGGGTTCCATCCAAACACAACAGAGTCCTGGAGTCAAACCGACAGAGAGTAGTAGCAGATACTTGTTTGCTGTTCTGTTCTGATCTGATCTGCAGCGCGGCTGGAAGATTTACACGTGACGACCTCTCCACTGATGCACCAGAAAATCCACGCTAGCTTCAGACTGCCCAGACGCAACCGTGCCACGCTTGAAACCCTTTGAACTAATTTAGATCGTGTGACAAAAATCTAAATACTTTCCCGGTAGAGCCAATGATACATCAAAACAAACTCGAGCTGCTTGGCTTCCTCTCCGAGAGCGTCTTTCATCTGAAGACAGAGTGAAAGAGAGAGAAGAGAGACAAAAACACCACAAGTGCAACTGGAGTAACTCATGGCTGGGAATGATTGATTGAAAACAATGGTTGACATCCTTGGCTGATTTCATGACTGACTGACTGCCGAGCTGGCTGACTGGGTGAGAGCAAGTGTGTGCTGGCAGCCCGGGATGTTTGGCAGGAGAAACATGGCTGACAAACTTAGCTCATGTCATGCGCCAATGCTGCTGCTGCTGCTGCTGCTGCAGCTGTTGGTGCTGCTCCTTCTGGACATTCAAAATAAATGAAGTGTCATGTGTCACTCTCAAACTACGGCTTTCCATTTTCATCTGTACAGACTTGGGTTTCATTATACCGACTTCTTTGAGAACACACACGCACCGTGTCTTTAAATATCCCCACCCGTTCTCCAGTTTACAGCTGAAAATCCACGCAACGATATCACCTCACTGGATCAGAACAAAATAAAGTCGACCAAAGGGAGGCCATCCAATTAAAACGACTACCGTGTTCTTGAACGCAGCGTGTGACATTCGTATCTAGCACATCATCATTCGATGCTCACTTCTGCTGTCCTCATCAACTGCAACATTTAGCTGAAACAGAGGGCAGCCGGCAGCCGACCCCTTCAATCATTTGCAACACAAAACCCCCGACAGAACATTGCACATTATATATTATAAAAATAATTTAAAGCGACAGCAGAGAGAATGAGGTCAGGGGTTTAAGAAAGGGCGCTGAGCGTGGGGAAAGAGATATGGTAATGTCATTACTACTGGCAGGGGCTGAGATAAAGGTAGGAGGGGATGAAGTGAACAAGCAGGAGACAGTGAGAGTCCCAGAGTGTTATCCTTCCCAGGTGCAAAGACTCCCTTTTCTGTCTACACTTTCAGTGATTCAATGCTTTATTCATTCTGTCACATATTCCTCTTTGTCTGCACTAGAGTCCCGCCAGTGGCAAATTATGTAGAACACATCACCGGCACAATATCTGATGAAATCTGATTACAAAAGGTGGAAGTGATAGCAGACGCCTTCAAGGGGCCGACGTAGGCAGATAAACCCCGTGACCCGACGACAACAGCGGCAGATGAGGCTGCAGAGAGACGGAGCTAAACAAGGACTGCAAAGCTGAAATCAAAAGAAAGACTGAATGGTTGGACAAGCATCCAGGGAAAAGTGTAGGCAAAAAAAGGGCAAAGACGGAAGCCAAATCAACAACCACAGTAGTGGTGAAATCACTACGTGTAGACACTATAAAAAAAGGGAAGGGAGAAATAAATCCAGGTCCAAATGTATGAACAGATGTAAAAATTTGTAACATCAGAAACCGTGTCCGACACAAACGTTGAGGGGCTACATGAGAGAAATTGCTGCTAAGAAGAAGACGAAGAAGAAGAAGAAGAAGAAGAAGAAGAAGAAGAAGAAAGTAAGTATGATTGTGCCAACCACGAAAGGGTGGACCGGCTCCTTTCATTCAGGGCTGGTCTGGCCTCATTTGATTTCTCTTGGCCCGACTACTCTCGACCCTCTCATGCTGCGGCTGCATGTTGAGGACCTGGCAGTGTTTTGTAGTGGACTACTACATTCTGTTGTGGCTAGCGTTGGACCAGAGCAGAGGTTCGAAATCCAGCATGATGTTGCACAGGTTGGACGAAAAAGCCTTCAAAGAAATCCGAGAGGCCGGGGCCTCCACAGCTTCCCATGCAGAGGAAGTGACCCCTGTAACTGCCAAACAACACTTCCCCTCTCACGCCTACACCTCCACAGCGGTCACAGAAAATAACAGTGTTTTTCACAGATTCCTTTTATGTAAAACACACACAAACATTAAAAAAAAAAATCCCAGACAATGACATGCGTTAAATGTGATGCATGTCAAATTGCTAGTCGGAGAGGTCAACATCCCTGGGAGTGGAGCAGAGGGAGGAAATTACAGAGACCAGTAAAACAAAACAAAAAAAAAAGGTTGAATGGTTGTAAAATATGACCTACAGTGTTACATTGTGACTACAGCGCTGATAATTTACAACAACACAAGGGGTGCACTTTCAGACTGCTGGAAGATAAATATGTCTGTTCATGACTTTAACTGTTGAGCTGTTGAGTGTCTAACTTGTAACCAAATGACACACAGTAAGACAAACTGTCGGTGCGTCTGGTGAAAATGAACTGGTTGAAACGCAGGAAATGAACACCAGGACCTGATCTCCTCCTACTTACTCCCAGTAGCCGAATAAGTTATCGACCTACTTCACGTATCAAGTTCATTAGGCTCAGCAGACTCCTGTTAAAACAGCATCATGACGACATGTGGAAGTTGTGTTAGACTCATACATTTTCATATTAAAACTACACGTTAAAATAACAAAAAATAAATAAAAAAAAATCCCACTGATGTCAAGGAAAAAAATGAAAGTGTGTACAGGAAGTAATATCTGAGCCACATCAGGATTTGACATCAGCACAAGCTAGGGACAAAGTACCTTTAAAAAAAAAAAAAAAAAAAATGAGGTATATATATATATTCTTGAAATGTACATGTTTATGACAATGTGTACAAATATATAGTTACATTTGTAGGACCAGAAAAAAATATGCCTCCATATGTCTTAATAAATGCTTCAATATAGGCTTCAGGAAACTGATTCTTTTGCCATTTTTATGTTATTTTAAGTTAATAAAATCACGCATAGAACACGTGCTTGCTGAGGTGACTGCAAACAAAGAATAAAGACAACCAAGAAACAGCAAAATGACACCATGTCCCAAAACATTATTTGCTAACGCTATAGCTTTTAGTTTACAAAACTACATTTAAAATAAGTCTTGTTTGTCTTTGGCCTTGATGTGAAAATACAACTGCTTACATTAGCTTAGAGTCCCAGAGGAACCACACTCTTAATGGCCTGTGTGGGTTGCAAACTGTGAATTTCCCCAATGTGAGACAAATAAAGGATTTTAAATGATTTTGAATGTAAAAAACAGAAATACACAAAGTACAGATATTAAAGACTTTAGGTAAAAATGTCTTATCAACCTAGATATACTGCCAGTGCTGGAAAAAGCTCACGGTACTTCACGTCTGCTCCGCCCTGTCCTGCTTTATTTACTTTATTTATCTGCTGATATATTGTATATATATCAGTATATATATAAAATAAAATATCAAATGTGTGATCTTTCGTTTCTTCAAAAAATGCAGTGTTGGCTACACTGTGGCTATGTGTAGAGAAAGAATTATGAGACCTTAACAGGTAAAAGTATTCCAGCTGAGTAGGCGGCCATTTAATGTGGCCCAGAATGCATTTGTGTTCAAGCAGATAAAAGAATGTGGCCACATGTGTTCCAAACCCTCTCTGAATGTGATCTGAGCGATCGGATCTCAAATGCATCCTCCATGTGTCTTGGGTGTGTTCACATCTGTATTTCGAGCTTTTCCCTTGTAGTCACATCACCAGGCACAGATGTTAATACCTAATGTGTACACAGGGCTATAGAGGGTCATCTGCACAGAGGAAAAAAATGGCAGCAAGTGTAAGAGCCTTAAGACTGTGTGGACACTTTCATTTATCTCCTCGTTCCACCTTTGAGAGAAGGGTTCGCTCTCCCCTCTCCAGGAACAGACCGACGGGAAAGTGAAAAAGCAACGCAGCATCTGATAAACACATCGACATAAATAACATCTGATTAAAGCATGTGTGCAGACATGAAGACTGATGACAGTAAACAGAGAGGGGACCACGAAAAGACAAGGGGGATTCAAGGCTCTTCACTGCAGCCGAAATAACAAATCCAGTCGTAATGATTCCTGCTTGTAAGTAAACAGGACTTTGTCCGTGACAAGTGTTGTCGGGTCTTTGCTCACACAAATGGGACAAAATGTCATCGCTGCACTGCTCCCATGATGCATCTGTCCTGCTGTGACTACCCGGGGCCCTGCAATTTACAAAACCTCTCTGTTAAAGGAACCAAATAAAAAGCACAGAACCTCAGAGGTGACACTGGCTGTCTGCACTCACTGACCAAGTCACTGATGTGGCATCGACCTCCAGATGCTAAATTACAA